GATACTTGTACTCCACCAGCGGAGGTAGGAGTAAGCGCCGTCGACGGGGGAGCCGCGGAGGTCGATTTGCCACCGTCCTCACAGCGGGGTAAGTCGGCTCCAATACGTCGAATTCAGCTACCCCCTCCCACTCCGTAGTGAGGACGTAGCCTAGAAGTACATCAGTATTTCTATTCATCCGAGCCCTCGTTATCTTATGAACAAGACCATTTCTTCATGTACGTTCCACCCCACAGCAAGTTCATTTGGCACCACAATTTAAGAATTCCTAATAGGATTTCCGTAAGAAATAGTCAATCAGCTGGAGTTCTGCTCCAACTAACTTGAGTCACAGACTTCTAGAGCTTTAGATTACCCATATCTTAAATGCCCATTTGTTTTGTTTAGTCTTTGGTGGATTGTTTTTTGATTTAGGGTTTACTGTGTTTAATTAACAAGTGAGGTTTGGTTTTGGTTTAGGTTTCATCCTAACATTTGGTCTACCAGGGTTTGCAGATCAATATTTGAGGCCTTGCACACATTTGGGATTTTCTGAAAGGCCTTATCCACATAAGGCATTTTTTCCCCTTAAACTTCTCCCACAGTTGCTACCAGTAGTATAGGTAGCTCCTCCGGCAGTGTCAACAATAGGATAACCTTAAGGGGGGAAAAGGCCTAGCCCAGACAAGGTGCTGGTGGATACTAGCATTTTACCATCATGTCACGGAGACACAGGTCTAGATGGCATGGTGATAAAAACACTGGTACCCCACTCCCTACATTAGGGCTGCTACTATCAACAGTGGGATAGGTCTGACTAAGTTCAGAGCATAGACACAGCCTTTGGTTTTGTGTCAACTCCTCCAGGTAGTTACATAAGTAATTTGTGCATTTTGCAATTTTTGTAATTTGTAATGTGCATTATAGCAACAGGCATTAAAAAAATAAAAAGAAGAACAGGATGCATCCGAAGAAGTGGGCTGTAGTCCACGAAAGCTTATGCTCTAATAAATTTGTTAGTCTCTAAGGTGCCACAAGTACTCCTGTTCTTCTTTTTGCGGATACAGACTAACACGGCTGCTACTCTGAAACCTAAAAAAATAAAATACTTCTCTGCCTCCCAGGACTGGTGTCAGCCTTATATCATTCAACTCTGATCCTGCTGGCTGTTCCTCAGTTTGACCCTGCACCTGACTGCAGCCCCAATGATATAAATGTGGCCCTGCACAGTCCATCCATGCGGAACAGCTTGCAAGATTGGACTCTTCACGTGTACATAAAAAGCTTTGAGCGCCTCAGTGAGAAGATGGAAAGATGATTATATTTAGAGCTTACCATTTCCTCATTTTCTGTTTTTAGTGTGACCTTTCTCTTTTTCAATCTTGGCTCTTCAGCACAGTTCTGCGATCCCTGTTTATTTCTTTTCTTACCCTTATTGTCACCGTGCACGTTGTTATTTTCACAAAGTCCCTCATCTATATTATCCACTGCAAGGTCTTCCGTTGGTTTGGATTTCTTTTTTTTGTCCTTTCTATTGCTTTTAATTGGTGTCATCTTTTCACTTTCAGATATTTCCCTATCTTCATCCACAAGGTTTACAGGCTCAGTGACTTCCTCCTCTTCCTTCTGAATCTTTTTCTTTTTCTTCTTGGTTACTTCACTGTCATCTTCAGAATACTCTCTGTGTTTTTTACCAGCGAGTGCTTTTTCCTGGGACTTGGCTTTTTGTTTTCTTGGAAGGTGTTTATTAGAAACTCCATGACTTTGGTCCTGATTATCCTCACATGTTAAGGAAGAAAAATCTTTGGTTTTTTTCTTCCTCTTGGTTACTTCTCTTTCAGAGTTCTGGACAATGTTCTCTTTTTGTTTTTTCTTATGAATGTGTTTTCCTGGGAATTGGTTTCTTGATTTTTTCTGAAGTCTCGTGTTGAAAGGTTCTCCTCAGAAACACCGTGATTGTTGTCCTGATTACCTGCCAGTGTTAAGGAGTCATGTTTGTCTTTCTTTTTTTTCTTCTTCTTCTTCATTATATCACTCTCTTCTGCAGAGTTCTGGACAATATCCTTTCTGTGTTTTTTACCAGCAAGTGCTTTTTCCTGTAAAGTGGTTTTATTTATTTTTTTAAGGTTTTTATTAGAAATTTCATGGCCACTGTCTAGAATTTCGATCACTGTTAAGGAAGAAATGTCTCTCTCTTTCTTTTTCTTCTTTTTTTTGGTTACTTCATTGTCACCCTCCACGTACTGGGAGATACTCTCTCTGTGTTTTTTACCAATGACTGTATTTTCCTGAGAACGAACTGTGTATTTCTTTGGAAGGTATTGATCACTGTCCTGATTATTCTCCAATGGTAACAAGGAAAGACCTTGGCCTTTCTTTGACTTCTTTTTGAAAACTTTAGATTCCTCCTTTATTTCTTTTACCGACTCAGACTCTGAATTGCTTTCTATTGTCACAGTACTGTCAGAATATGCTCTTTTTTTTAATTTGGAGCCAACTTTTTTCTTCTTTTTACTAAGATTTAACTGATCTGAATCCTCTTCTGCTAAGAATTTCTTTTTCTTCACCTTAGTTTTTGCTTGTGTGTCAGATTGGAGGTCTTCATCAATTTTGATGACAGTTTGGCTCCCAGTGCTCTTCACTTTTTTCTTTTTCTTTTTCTGTCTTGTTTCCTCATAAACACTCCCTCCCTCTTCATCTATTATCATTCTGAAAAACAAACTACAGGTTAGTGCACAGCTTTAGTATTGCAACGCAGAGCTATTCTGCTTAGTGCTTCACACTCTTATAAAGTGTTATTTCTACTTGAACTATGGGGGGGGGGGAAATACTGGTCTGATTTTCTGACATGCTCAGAACCCACAGCTCCCTTAGCCTAATCTAAAAGTCCAAGGAACAGCTCTGAAGATCAGATTATAAATATTTCTTACAAGTTTAAATCCATCAGCTATTTCTCTAGATGAAGGCTCTGTCCACACTCAGATCATGCTAGCTACAAACACATTGAAAGCCTGCTGGGGCTAGCATGATTTTCCTGAATATTGTCAATACAGATTCTTTTCTGAGCTATGCTAACCCTACCATGACAGGCAACTTTCTGTAATAGGTGGACAGACTCTGTGTCCTACATAGGCAAACAAGGACCTTCAGATTCAGGTGCTCACAACGAACATGAAGGTGCAGGCAATCACTAACAGATGGATTCAATTCTCTCCAACCACAACATAAGAAGGGACAGAAGGCACGAATGACAGTCATGCTTGGAGGAAAAGATTAAGCTTATGTTTGAGTTGCCCACTTCCTGAGATGAGTTTTATCAGTAAGTTTGGACTACATACAGTATCTGTACACTCTGATTGGAGCAGGGTGGGAATACCACTTCCTTTGCTACCTCCCCACCACTGTTTGTCTATCATATGGGACTCTGACAGAACCACACTAGTCAGGGAAAGAGCTGGTTGACTACAATCACATTTAATTTATACCACCCTGTGGTTAATGTGGTGCTTGCTGTTCCCAGTGTGAACAAGGCATGGAAGATTACACTGTTTCAGCTTCAGTTCTGAACAATAACATTTAAGAAAGGAATGAAGCGAGAGGGTTGAATCTTATCACCACACCAACTGTCCCTTTTTCAAAGATATTATACGTGAGCTTCCATGGCACAGATGTTTGTGGATCTGAATTCTGCCACCAGTCAAAGTATTAAGGAGGCAACTCAGGTGGTGAAATTTAGTATGTCCAGATGCCTCCCACAGACTGCAGCATAAAATGAGTTCCTAGTAGGTTTTTGTCCCCTTTCTCCTGGCAGGCAGCTATCCTGCCTGAACAGGCCCCAAATTATGCAACCAAAGCAACTTTTTAAAAACTTTGTTAGCTCAGCTCTGAGCTGTAGTGATAGGTCATCCTCTAAATGTAGGCAGAAATGCAGAATTGGCAGCTCAGTCAGGATTCTCCATTTATCAGAGTGGGTCCTTTACAAAATAATACTTTGAGCTATATCCTCATGAGCAGGAGACAGGAAACCCTCATTTGCTAGTTTTCCTACACATTATTCCATCAGGGGGGGTATGGCTCATGTGGACCCTCAACAAAGCCAGCAGGAATGTTGGCCTCCCCCAAACCAGAAAATCCCTCAAGATCCCAGATGCAGAAGCCCTTTGCATAGAGGCCCTGTCAGTTTTCCACCAGCTCTCCCTGTCCGCACAGCTCCAGAACTCCCATCTGCTGCTGCAACTGAGACCCACCCAAGGAGGGCTTCATAGCAGAGACAGAAAAGTGGGTAAACTGGTTGAGCTGAAGGGAACACTGCCATGGAGATGTGACCTGCACTTCCATGCTCGGAATAATGATCTCTGCACTCACTGCTTGTACAAACCTACAGTACTAAACAGCTCCAAGGATGCACCTATACTAGAAAAAACAGGAACTATAATCCCCAACTAATGCAGCTCCACCAAAGGACGCTGTAGCAAAGGGTTAGACAACACAGTGGCTACAACACCTTGAACCCATCCATGCTACAGCCTCTGCCAGCACTACAACTGGTGGAGCTGCACTGGTCAGCAGTTGTGGGCTCCAGTTCATCCCAGGGCTGACACGGCTTCAGTGAGGATCCGTTCTTGGGAGGCTGTGGGGTGGTTTTGTTACGTGAAACAGACCAGATTTTGGCTTTCAGGCTCCATCTGATAAGTTCCTGGTTTACTGACATGTTTGATAGATCTCCATGGTTCTAAGATGATGGGAACTATTCATTTATTGGCATTAGCTGCAGTTCAGTCCCCTGCCCCCACCAGCCAGCCGCCTCCTGCGCCCCCCGACCAGCCAACCGCCTCCTCTGTCCCTAACCGCCTCGTGCCCCCCCACCCCGGAGTGCTCGCGCTTCCACCCCCCCGAGTCAGCGCCAGCTTCCGGCCCCGCTCTCGTTCGGCCGCCAGCACCGGGAGGCCTCTTACCTGCTGACCCCACGTGCAACGCCTCCCCTCCCCCCCTCCGCGTGTTCGCCGAGCCCGGGTGGCTCTGACCCGGAAGCGGAAAGCGGCGCCTGGCGCGGGCTCCTCTGGGTAATCTCCGCCTGCGGCTTGGGGGTTGCTTGGTAACCGTGCCCCTCCATGGCTGTAGCTCAGGGACCAAAGACGCTCTGGGAGCAAATCTGTGCTGGTGAGAGAGAACCCCCCTGCCCCCTGTCACCCCTCGGGCGGGGCTCCCCCAGCCCCCCTTTCTGGGGCAGGGGATAAGTGGAGAATCCCCCAAGCCTCCCTCACTGGGTTGGGGGGACTCCCCCCTTCGGAGCTGCTCCGAGCCTCCATCAGTGAGCTACGGAGGCGGGTTCACTGTAAGTCCGTTTCTCTCCCTCTGGGGCTGGAGGCTTTTGTCTGTCAATTTCAGTCATTGAAACGGTTTCGCTCCTGGTTTTTTGCATTCAAATCCCTCTCCTGGGGAGAATCTGGTTCAGCAGGGTTGCAAAGAACTGGACATTGGGGTGTCCCTTTGAAATATAAACATTAGACTGACCCAGCTCAAAACACTGCCACTGGTTCAGAAATCTAAACGAAAATACATTGTTCACAAATGCAGGACGAAAGGTTCAAATATATTTATTAAAATGTGTATATTGCTCTTGTGATTTAAATTGTCACCAGGCACTACGATTAGAAATATAGCCTTGTATCATGCGCTGGTGAAGGTTTTATTTATTACACCCTTAATGAAGTGCTAATATAATTGTCTTTTGTATAAGAGTAATCTGCTTCCCAATTGAATCCAGCCTTCTGGTTTATCACAAGGGAATCAGTTTATTGCCTCATAAAAGCAGATAGGCAATGATATTGCAAGTGTAATTAACACAAAATTAATAAGCCTTGTTTTCAATTTCAACAATAGAAGCCTTTAGCGTGGTCATTCCCCAGCATCTGCAGTGGCAGCTGTGGCTACTAGGAATATTCAGGAAGCTGAGGAGCCCACACCACCAGTCATTTGATTGTACCTAAAGTTATCTATTTATTTATTTAGTATTTATAGTGCCCTACAGTGTGATAAGTGCTTTATATTAAATGGCCATTTTTAATCCTAGAATAAAATGCCACCTATCCTAACTTGACTGAATCAGTGGGTGCATACCATGAATGGAGGCCATAATGCCAGTTAAGGCACATGACTATAAAAATGGTAGGTTGGGTGGTTGCAGGCATGTTTTGCATCTAAGGCCTTCATCTTTAATTGTGTAGTGTGAGGGAAGATTGCAGCTTCTTCCCATAGTCCCCTTCAAAGTTAGTGGGGCTCTGCAGGGACACCTAGTTCCTAAAAAGAACAGGAGTACTTGTGGCACCTTAGAGACTAACAAATTTATTAGAGCATAAGCTTTCGTGGACTACAGCCCACTTAGTTCCTAAAGAATGCTGGATCAGGGTTTAAGTCTATAATTCCATTTTGGGTTTCTGATGATGTCAACTAACTGCTTAAGCATTAGTTTTAATGTCAAGATACCACCCCGAACCATGTATTTACAATTATAATGTAAACTTAGGTACTGAAGATATAATGCCAAATATTTTATTAAGATAATATTCTGTAAGATTTCAGTTTTGCTTCTCAGATCCATATATTCCTACTGTATGAGTAAAATAAACTTGTGGAAAGATTTGAATGGTTCATGTGTAGAAATCCTGAGATTTGTCAGAACTTTCCAGTTAGAGAACCACTGAAATCTCTTACTGGGGCCCTTTATTCTCTATTTTTAAATTTAATTTTATAAGGAGCAAAATTTCTTCTTGGTGGATCTTAACTACACTCTGTTGCTCTGCATGTGGCAAATCCAAGACCAATGAAGTTAACTGAAGTATTCCGTTTTATTTCAGTGGGAGTTGGGTCCAGCTCCATACCTTTGCAAATCTATCATTGACATCAGTAGGAGATCTGTACATATAGTGAGAGCAGAACACCTGAGTGGGTTTCTGCCTTTGATATGCATTAGGAACATTTTGCACTTAGGGTAAGTGGAACTGTTGTCTAATGGTCAGCACATACGGCCAGGATTCAGGACTCCTGGGTTCAGTTTTTTACTGATTCACTGAATAGTTTGCAAAGATCACATAACCTCTCTGCACTTCCATGTTTTCCTTTATTAACTGTAGATGATAATAGTTAGCTACCTCACAGGAGTTTAATTGTGTAAGGGGGTTCCCGGTATACATCGGGGTTGTGGTCTTGTAAAGGTCAACGGATACTGAAATGACAAATACTGGGGAATTTTTCCCCATAAAAAATAATGGCCTGGCCTGGCCTGCCTCTTCCTGCCTTCCCTCTACTCCCACCCCGCCTCTTCCTGCCCAGTTCCACCCCCTGCTCTGAGTGTACCCCAACCCCCTCGCTCCCAGCACCTCTTGAACGCTGGGGGAAGCACCCAAAGAAAACCACGCAAAAAGTGAAGCGACAGATATGTGGATCGGGACCGATGTGAATTGGAACACGTTCCCCTATTGATAAGCGACCGTTACGCAAAACAACTGATAAGAGGACCCCCTGTATAAAGAGCCTCATTTGAAAAGCACTATTGCATATAAGTGAAAAGTATTCTTAATTTCATGCAAGCATCCTCATTTTATTTAACAAACATTTTATAGTCTTAAACTATGCCAAATTGCTTACTTAGTACAAAAAGTCTATTTTCAAGAAAGGCTTCCTGTATCACTGAAAATATTGTCCTTGATTCTCCAGGACAAGTAACTCAGAAGTTCTCTCATTTTAATAAATTAGATTTTGTGTTAAGTATTTGCTTATCATACATGGTTTATAATTTTTGCAAATGAAAGTAGCTTTTAATAAGTAATATTTGTTTGTATGTTTTCAGAAAAATCGTTATAAAGTCCTTTTGACATTTGGTGTGGTGCTGGGTTTTGTCTTGTTTTAGAGTACGAAGCAGAGCAGCCTCCATTTCTGCATAGTCCTGAATTAAAACAAGATTCTGTGAGTACATTTCAAGCAAAACATCTGTATATGGTATGTCTGAAAATGTGCATCTATTTCTAAACAGGAAGATTAGGTATCCAAAATATCTCCAGATTCATTCGATGAATATGTGACCGTGTATTTAAAATTTCTCTTAAGTGTCAAATGCAATATTCCAGAAATCACTGCTGTTCTTTAAAGATATTTTGGTAAGGCTGCTATGCCTAAATTTAGATTACCAGCTGTGTTTTGGTTTGCACATTGCGCTGTCCCTCTGCTCTGCCTGTCTGCTTCCTTCTTATGAATAGGCAGGATATTGAAATACGCAAGCATCTTGTTCACTGGATTCCTGCATATTTCAATACTCTCCCTGATCGCAAGAATGAGGCAAGTAGGCAGAGTAGAAGACTGGTGCTCTGTTTTCACACATGTGTCATTGTTGCCTTACTCAAACTCTTGCTATTGCAAAGACACACAGATCCTCACATTTATTGTTGGTGTATCACCTGGTGGTGAGTTTGGAATTTCATATACAGTACTTTGTGCTGAATCCCTCCGTTTGGGAAGCTGTTTTTTGTTTTCCCCTTCCATATTTAAAAAAATAAAAAAGTTACAAAAAAGTGGACCAGATTCAGGCCTACTACCATAGAAACTCAGAGTTACGAACAGCTTGGGAATGGAGGTTGTTCAGAAGTCTGCAATGTTTGTAACTCTGAACAAAGCATTATGGTTGTTCTTTCAAAAGTTTACAACTGAACATTGACTTAATACAGCTTTGAAACTTTACAATGTAGAAGAAAAATGCTGCTTTTAACTGTCTTAATTTAAATGAAACAAACACAGAAAGTTTTTTTTAACTTAGTCTCTTTTTTAAAACTTTCCCTTTTATTGTTTTTGTAGTTTATGTTTAACATGGTACTGTACAGTATTTGAGTTTTTTGTTGTTTCTGCTGCCTGATAGCTTACTTCCAGTTCCAAATGAGGTGTGTGGTTGATCAGTCAGTTGATAACTCTGTTGTTCGTAACTGAGGTTCTACTATATAAGATGGGCATCTTTGCATGGTCTGTATTTGGCTAAGTATTTTTATTGTAGGAAAACTTTGGGCCTGTTGATGTCAACAGTGTTCATAAAACTTAAAAAAAAAAAAAAAAAAAACTTTAGAGCCCTTGTCTCAAAAAGAACTGCATGAGCAGGGAGATAAATCATCACAGACTCAAATACAAAACTCATTGTGTAAAGCACCAAATTACCCCTACAAAATGATCAAAAAACCAAAGTTTGATCAGCCTATTTTGGCTGTTTTAATTTAAACTTGCATCTCATAGCTATATTGTAGCCTACTATACATCAGTTAGCTTACGATATTAACATTTTATATGAATATTTACATATTCTAATTCTGTGCTAAGCTGTCTAGGATATCCTGTTGCCCTAAGTGAAAATAACACCGTTATAGTATATTAATTTATGTAAAAAGAATAGCAAATTCTGATGACTGTGTCATTAGCTTGGGAGTAATATATCTGTTTCCCTGCAATTGTATGCAATGACGTGCATTTATATATTAATGAAGTTCTGTTAATTCTTTAATAGGATTTGTTTATGAACCTTGCATGTATTAAAAAGAAGCCTACTCATGCCTGTTTTATCGATACGCAATGTATTAGGGGCCCGATCCTACTAATATTTTGTTCAGTAGAGCAGGAGCATGTTCATAAACCCATCTGAGTTCTAATATGCAACAGTTTATTATGCCAAATTTTGATAGCAAATTATGACAGTGATGCAATAGTGTTGGTATGAGGTGTTTGCCTTCCTCTTTCTAAACATTAGGGATAGGTCACTGTCTGATAGAGTGATATTCTTGTCCACTATAATCGTATCTGTGTTCCTAGAAACACAGATCAAACTTTGGGCCTTCAGTCTTGTTAGTCTCATTATTTTGTCCAATTATGATTTTTCACAAGCTGTGTAACTGCAATCTTTTTCATGCGAGAAAAATTCAGGCTTGGGTTTACATCAGCTTTGAATTTGCCTCTCTGTATTTTGTTTAAAAACACACACATTTCAATCTTTTTTTATTTCTTAAACAACAAAAATAATTCCAGGATACAAAGGCAAGTAGTGTATGCAAGCAATTGAATGAAAAAAACGTTAGTAAGGAAAATATTTCAATTTTAGTTTCCAAAGGGGTATTATTTATTGACAGTTGAGTAAAATACATTTTTAAATTGTGAAAATCCCTTGACAGTGCCCTTTTTAAGACAACTGTCCTAGCCTTTCATATGCATAGCCTCCTACATTTGGATATTTTTAGTGCACTGCAGCCTAGATTTGCCCCCCCCCGCCCCCAAAACAGACTTCTCTCTCTGTTTAAAGTATTCATGAAGATAGAAACCGTCCAGCCCAAATATTGAAATCAGTTAATATTTTACTTATTGTAAATTCCTTTTTTACAAAACTTCTATTTCCTCTTACACTCAATTTACCTGAAATATATTTATGAAGGGAAACCAATCTGGATGAGATATTTGTCAAGTATGTTTATTTTTAACAGGTTTCTTTGGATACAGGAATTTTGCAGCCTTTACATACAAAACAATTATACTCAACTTCTACTGAATGTTCCATTGCCCAAAAAATATCTTCCTTATATCTCGCACCGCTTCCAGCAGCACCTAATCCAAAAACATGTAAGTAATGGTCTGAAAGAATATATTTACTTGATAATGAACAGAAAGGACGTAAAGAAGGTCTTGTGAGTACAGGCAACCTGTGCCATGGTACAGAGGATAAGGTCTCTTGATACAGTACATCGGGGTGGGCACAGAGCTATATATGGCTAATATTACTGACCATAGACGAAGACCTGAAAAAGAATGTTTGGATTTATATGAAAGGGGTCCTCCTGGGCCAAAAAATAATTTAGCATGTACGCTGCCTTCCATACCACTTTGTATGTTCTAGCAAGTTTCTGCACAGAAGATCTGAAATAAGACATGACCCACAGTATGTTGGGCTATCTTGAAAAGCTATCCTACCTTTGAAAGAGTGCATATACTAGCATATTAGGGTACACCCTGCTGTGATTATTTAAAAGTTTAAATTAAGAATTTCCACACGTTTTTTTTATTTGAGATTCTCATGACTGGTCCCCAGTACTTCAAACACATACCCCACTTTGGGCCCATGTGTCCTTGCAGAGTCATATTGATATACTCTGCAGGCATTAGAAATGCCTTTGTTTGTAGGATTAAGGGCTTAATGTATAGTTGTACAAATCTATTGAGGACAATTTTCCAACCCTGAATAGTGACTTTTTACTCAGCTGTTTATATTACAACTAGGGCTGTCGCGCAGTAAATTGCACTCTTAAACAATAATAGAATACTATTTATTTAAATAGTTTTGGATATTTTCTACATTTTCCAATATTGATTTCAGTTACAACCACAGACTACAAAGTGTATAGTGCTCACTTTATATTTTTGATTACAAATATTTGCACTGTAAAAAACAAGTGATAGTATTTTTCAGTTCACCTCATACAAGTACTGTAGTGCAATCTCTTTCTCATGAAAGTTGAACTTACAAATGTAGAATTATGTACAAAAAATAACTGCATTCAAAAACAGAACCATGAAAACTTTAGAGCCTACAAGTCCACTCAGTCCTACTTCTTGTTCGTCTGAGCGATTGGCTGAACAAGTTTGTTTACATTTGCAGGAGATAACGCTGCCCGCTTCTTGTTTACAATATCACCTGAAAGTGAGAACAAGCATTCTCATGGCATTGTTGTAGCTGGCATTGCAAGACATTTATGCGCCAGATGCACTAAAGATTCATATGTCCCTTCATGCTTCAACCATCATTCCAGAGGACATGCGTCCATGCTGATAACGGGTTCTGCTCGATAACCAAAGCAATGCAGACCGACGCATGTTCATTTTCATCATCTGAGTCAGATGCCACCAGCAGAAGATTGATTTTCTTTTTTGGTGGTTCGGGTTTTGTAGTTTCTGCATCAGAGTGTTGATCTTTTAAGACTTCTGAAAGCATGCTCAGTCTACACCTCATCCTTCTCAGGTTTTTGGACAGCACTTCAGATTCTTAAACTTTGGGTTGAGTGATGTAGCTATCTTTAGAAATCTCACATTGGTATCTTCTTTGCGTTTTGTCAAATCTGCTGTGAAAGTGTTCTTAATACAAACGTGCTGTGTCATCATCCAAGACTGCTATAACATGAAATGTGTGCAGAATGCGGGTAAAACAGAACAGGAGACATACAATTCTCCCCCAATGAGTTCAGTCACAAATTTAATTAACACTTTATTTTTTTAACGAGCATCATCAGCATGGAAGCGTGGCCAAAGCATGAAGAGACATACGAATGTTTAGCACATCTGGCACATAAATACTTGGCACTTTTGTAGCCAGCATTGCAATGAGAACGCCTGTTCTCACTTTCAGGTGACGTAAATAAGAAGCAGGCAGCAGTATCTCCCGTAAATATAAACAAACTTGTTTGTCTTAGAGATTGACTGAACAAGAAGTAGGACTGAGTGGATTTGTAGGCTCTGAAGTTTTACATTTAGTTTTTGAGTGCAGTTACGTAACAAAAAGCTCTACATTTGTAAGTTTCACTTTCACCATAAAAAGATTGCAGGACAGTACTTGTATGAGGTGAACTGAAAAATACTATTTCTTTTATCATTTTTACAGTGCAAATATTTGTAAGAAAAAAATAACACTATAAAGTGAGCACTCTCTACTTTGTATACTGTGTTGTAATTGAAATTAATATATTTGAAAATGTAGAAAAATATCCAGAAATAGTTAATAAATTTCAATTGGTATTCTATTGTTTAACAGCGCAATTAAAACTGCATTTAATCGTGATTAATGTTTTGAGTTAACTGCGATTAATCGACAGCTCTAATTACAACAGAAGAAAGGCAAGTATTTTTCCCTTCTAATCTTAAGGTCAAATTAGTTTCAGTAAGATAACTATATAATTGAGTCTGAAAATTCCTTTCAAAATATAGTCCTTTGCGCATCAGTTTCTTTTCCATCTGTGTTCAGACTCTGAATCTTTCTTCTTCCATTTTTATCAGTCTGGTTTCAACTTTCTGAAATTCACATAGAATCTGTAACAATATTTTCCTTTAGATGTTCTGCACTTTAGCCTTTATATTGTCTTTCAACCCATCACCTTTCTTCACCTCCTTTTCTAAGTTTCTTCTCTTTCTTCTGTTCATTGTTTTCCATTGCTGGCAGTGAGAAGCAGTAATATCAAAGGCTTTTATATAGGGTGCCCTTCCAATTAGGAACATTTTCAAGTGGTGTCTGAACTGGATTAAGGATGTGAAGCAATGAACAAGCCTTTGCTCCAGATATACATTGCCAGGAGACCACCCTTTTAATAATTAATCTGTATTTGCCACATTAAGACAGGAATATTTACTGCAACAGCAGCTGAGCTCTCGACTGAGGACAGCACTTCAGCTGGTTAGGGCACCTCCCCCACCCCAAAAAAAAGTTCTGTGCTGATTTCTGAATCACTCTGATCTGATGACTAATAAAAATTGTTCCACACCTGATGTAAGTTTATTTTATAATGTACAGTGCTCCATAATACTTCTTCTTAAGGTCTTTAGTACAGACGAATTTTAATCTTGAAAAGAGTTCACTTTTCTCAGTGACTTCGGTGTCTAGATTATGATTTTCAAAGAAGCAAAAGAGTTAAATGCCCAAATCTCATTGAAACTCAGTGTCATTTGGACACACAAAGCCCTAGGCACATTTAAAACTCCAGCCTTTGGAATTTGGAATGTATTTGGTTCCATTTCCAAGACTGGCATACAAGGTACCCAATTTGTGTCTAGTTTGGCTGCATATTTTATGGACAATTAAGACTATTAACACCACCATGGCTAAACAAACAGGACACACTTAAATTATTAAAATAATTTATTACTATCAAGCATGGGATAAGAGTAAAAGTTGTTTAGTTGTTATGTTGTTAATCAGGATTTTTTGTGTGTGAAATTAGCTACATATATTGTACTGAAATGCTTCTTAGAAATGGCTTTCTTGTTTGATTTAATTTATCTAACTTTGAGATCATAGAAGTCAGAAGAAAAAGTGGATCATATTCTGCTCTTGGCTAACCCAGTGTAAATCTGGAGTAATTCCAATGAAGGCGATGGAATTACAATGGCATAAATCCAGAGTAATCCAGGGCAGAAATTCACCTGATTAAAACAAATGTCTGTGCATTTACATACACTGGACCATGTAATTTGAAAGGTAATCATTTTGGTCTTTTGAGTTAATTTTTTTTCACCTTAAAGACTGAAGCTTGTGTTTTCAAAAGTACCTGTCATAGGCCTAACTCTGTGCTCATTGAAGTTAATGGGATCTTTACCATTGACTACTGAGAGCAGAGTTAGATCAACACTGCATGCTTTTGAAAATTTCACTCTTAAAATTCTCCCCTATATTTAAACATGCTTTCTGTTTCAAGGAGCACAACCATGAACTGGGTTTGTTGTCTAAAGATAAGTGTTATATCTACCAAGCTGGAAATCAAAGTCCAAATCCCATTTCAGTCTCTCGCTTCTAAGGCCACAGGACTGGCAATCTAGGTGAGAAGCAAAACATCAGAACACCTAGCAGTTCTGCCTGCTGACAGATCAGGAGCCACACATTGATGGAGCTCTGATGGCAATTCTGTTTGTTTCTCTTGTTCCTGGAGGGGTTTATTCATGATGACAAAGCCTGTGAAAAGTAGGTGGGTAAGAGAGGGAAATCCATGTGCCACAAAGTGAAGATTTGACCTGGCCCTCCTCCTGATGCCTAGGAGTTGAATTTTGTGATTGACTACAGTTACTCCAGTTTCTAAGGGAAAGCAAACCAATAATGGGTGGATATCCTTCATGGAGAAGGGAGGAGAAAGCACTCAGTTTGAAACTTATTCAAGTTGATGTATTCTTCGTGACTTAAGAGGAGTGAAATCTGTGACTATCTAAATTGAAAGAATCTGTGTTTTAGAACAAGCTGAGATGATACTGATTAAAATTAAGGCTATTTGATTTATTCAGATGAATGTTCCTCTTTCTCCAGACTAAGTTCAATCTGTTAATGGGAAAAAAAATATTGTTTTGTCCAGGTTCTCCTCGAGAATATTTGGAATATTACATATTTCCAATACTTCTGCCGGGAATGGCTGAACTTCTGCATCAAGCAAAGAAGGAAAAGTGTTTTGAGGTCAGTTCTTAGTTTTCAAGATGCTGTTTCAGGATTCTAAAGGGTTTTTTTAATCCACTATCTACATTTCATTATTTTGTCTTTTACAAACTGACTATAATAAGATAAAATAGTGTATTGTATGTCATTTTTAAACTGAGTTAGTTTTGAGTAGTGTACTTCATAAACCCGATCAATATGACAAGCCCTACATTATGCCTTTTCCCATAAAACTCTTTCTGAAATTTCCAATTGTATCTAGCCCAGCTAGCTATCAAGCTTCAGGGGGAGGGCTCACCTTTCTAATTAACACAAGGGGCACTCATTTGAAGAAAGAGAGAAGATTATAGACTGGAGCAGCTGCAGATAAGGAATTTACATTTAATCTACTACAATAGTTATGAAAATTCAACACACTGCTCGATCATTGTAACTCTGTTGGAATATTGTCTTGATGATTTTTTTTTTTTGGCATGTTGGCCTTTTGAAGTTTTGTGAAAAATACTACTTATGTACACTATACAATTAAAGTATTTGGTTTCTCTTATAAAGACTGGGCGTTCTGGCAAGATTTATTTGCCACATATACAGTTTTATAAATGCTTCCATACACTTTTGTAAAATTGTTGTTCTTAATTCAAGTCAATTTAGTTATAGCAATCCAAATTCTGCCTTTAGTCACACTCTAAAAGTAATATTTGCTATGTTCTTCTGTCTGATTAATTGTTAATGTGCCTTTCATCAAACTTTTTCTCCCTTATGTGTAAATGATTTGTCTGATTTATTCACACAACTTCAAAGGTGGCAAAATCATATAAAAATACATTAAGATTTTCTGTTGAAAGATACATACCAATTGTGTTAAATCCGTGTTTCTCAACTGGGGGTTACAGGATGGGTTAAGGGGGGGTGGGCAGCAAGCGGGGCCAGTGTTAGGGGGTTGGAAACAGGGCAATTGTCTGCAGCCCCATGCCACACAGGGCCCCACAATGCTAATGTACATAAAGCCTGGAGCCAGGAGCCCCAAGCAGGGCTGAAGCCCAAGCCCGGTGGAGCTGAGGGTAAGGGATCACAATTTTTTCTAGTGGGGGTGGGGGTCATGATATTTTTTTAAGTCCAGAGGGGGTCGCCAGCACAAAAAGGCTGAGAAACACTGTTTTAAATTAATAATCTGGAAACAAACTAGGGGAGTGTTAAATATTCAGACCCTAGATAGCAAAGCATGCAGTTCAGACAGTTTTGCTATCCAAGCTACTGACACAGACTTCGTATTAAATATATATATGTGCCAGATAACAGACACAGTGGAACAGCTTTAAAAATGTTTGGTATGCAATTACATATGTAGAATTAACCATTGACATATGCACACTTTTGATGCAGCCAAAAATACATTACACTTTCCACACTTGGCTGCTCCTCCCAAATTTGTCTTCCATGTTCAGATCTTGTTCTTCTGTGTAAATAGCTTGCTTCAGTTTTCACTAAGACTTCACAAGGTTTGAGTGTAGTTCTAAAATCATTAGTTTTTAATAAGTGAGCAGGTTTATATCACCTGTGATTGACACTCTTGATGGAAATGGAAAATTGTTTTACTGCATGTCAAAATACTTTGTGAGCACTATACATTCGTGCCACGATATTTATAGTGTCTAGCTTAGAAATCTATTGATATATACAGTATTCATCACATCATATACAAGACCAGTATTGAGGTTTTTTTAAAGAAAGGAAATCGAGACCACCTCATAATATGAAAGAATTAAATATTTTTAGGACAGTTGAGCAGTTAATGTTTACAGTTGCATAGCTTAGGTCTGGGATTTTGGTGTGGGGGGGTGGCTTGGTTTTTTAGTTGAGACACGTTGGAAAGATTCAGTGTTGAATGGTCCTCCAATCCATATTTCTACTAATGATATGGTATTTTAGTATGAGGGCAGAAGATTGTAACAGAAAGTGTAGGAATACTGGCAGTTTTAAAATCCACTGATGCTTTTTCTTAACAATTTATGCTACTCTATTAAAATGTGATTAAATGCATTTTAAAGACCTCATTAATGTAATAGTAGTAAGAGCAAATAGAAATCACTTAAAGATTAAGATAAGCAGTGAGAGAACCCCACACTGTAACAAAGGTATAGTTATTATGAGGTATGTAATAATGAGCTCCTTTGAGTCAATAATAAATTAATCCCAATGATTAAATATGTGGTTTTTAGTAACAAGCAAAATAAAGTATCCGTGTAGGTAAAGTTGGTTTATGTTTTCTATAGGAATGTTTACAAGAAAGTAACAAAAAATACAAATACAAACTGTAAGTTATATTTGTCTGTAGTGCACCTTTTTACTTGCTATATTAGGAGTTGTTTTGGTTTTTTGTTTTGCCTTCTTTCTCACAAAAATTTGCACACTATCAAAGATAAACTAAGTTATTTTGGTTGTAAAAGAGAGTAACGTCATGTTGGTGGGGAGGGAAAGTTAGGAAAGCATGGGTGTGTCATATGACAGTTGTCCTCTGGGACATCATTTTTTGCTCTTTTGGAATAATGTTAGCAAAACAATAGCTCTTGGTAACCATATGCATGAATACTAGTGCTACTTTCCATTGCTGACCAAATGCTTAATACTTGGACAGTCTATTTTCATATCTATGAATGCATGAATTCTAACTGAACCTTGCCTACTTCAGCTAGCATTCACATAGCCAAAGCATTATTCTTTGTTAATTACAAGCAAAGTCTACTGCGTAACTTGCATAAAAATGTTTTAAATGATAACTAGAACCCCTTTCTAATATACAGAGAGCAATGCAATCATTTTCTTTAAACAAATTCAGTGCCTTACTTCTGCTTTACCTTTATTACACAGATCCTCTTGTGGATTTTTATACATTTGTGGTATTGTGATTTAAATATAACATGCACAAGTTGAATGAAATTATTCTTGATATAACAATTGAGGACCAAATTTTCAGCATTTCACAAATGTGCCTGGAAAAATGTGCAGCTACAAACATATTTACATATGTAAATTGACATTCTTGCTTATAGTAACTTACTTTGCATATACAATGAGGTCTTGTGTGTGATTATACATGAGGCCCACTGAAAATGTGGTCACAATTCACACATTATCACAATGTACTGTAGGTGTCTGGCTATGCTGGAAAAAGGACAGGGATCTACTGGATGTGGTTTAATTAGGCTGAAACTTTATTCCTAAAAGTCTGGGGATACTCGGCAGATAAAATTGTAAAGGACAGATAATTACATAATCATTTACATATATCCCAGGGACTGCTGTGAGCCCTCCTACTTTCCCATCCTGGTCTCCAGCCAACGCACTGCTGGGACCTCACTATTCCCCAAATGAGGGTTAAGGAGGACTACAAAGGGGTGGGGATTGACTCTCTGCCGTATCAGTCATAGGCGTCCTAAACCCACCCTGTTTCCTCTTCTTTAAAGAATATCTCTAAATCTTTTCCACATCCATTTTATCTGATCACCATATCCATTCCCTATGGAGTACCTGCACTGGTCAGCCGGCACAAGGAGACACCAGCATTTAGCTTGGCTGTCTTCCCCACCCCCACATACCTAGATGGGTTCCCAGACATCTGATGCGCTCTTTAACATTGGCCAAAAATGTATCAGCTCCCAAGTCAGACAGGTGGACCCTATTCTGCCTGAATAACTCTGGTGCCGTGTATGCTATGTCCAGATGGAAAAATTAGCAACTCCCATAGGCTACCTATGAATTTAGCCACCTCCCTGTTTGCATATCTCCTAACCTTCTCTACCGATGGGAGCTTCACTGTTCTCTGCTACACCCTTCATAGCAACATGTCTGACCACACAATTTTTACTCCTGGAAAAAGTTCCAGGATCTGCCCCAAGTCTCTCTTAGCTCTGACCATTAAATCTACCATTATACACATTCACAAACCATTTCCCCACAAGATGAAGCACAATCGTATCTGATGCCTGCTTCCGGGCCATCATGGTGTACAGCAGGGGCATCAGCTGGTCCCATACCATGTCCCTCATGCCATGCCAGCTCAGGACTGCTTCATCCCCAAGGACCAGCTGCGAATCTCCAGGCAACCTGGAAGCCCATCTATGTGCCCAGTAAACAATACTGTGCCACAGATCCATGTGGTCTGCTGGCCCATCTGCAAGTGCAAACAAAAAGGAAAATTAACACTGATTCCCTACCACCAGTGGGGGTCTCGTATACATATGGTATGCTTCAGAATGCCAACGCTGAATTGTCCCATTTCCCAGAACAAGCTGGGCTGCTGCTGTTGCTGCCCCAATCCTGACTGAGTGGGAACAAATTCATGTGCTGGAAACCACAGCCTCATCAGTCCCTGTCTTAAAATTGTAACAAACTGGTATGCTGTGAGGGAACTCTCATCACTGTGAATAGAGAGAGACCTATCCCTCCCTGGTCTTATTGCCATGTATGCCCTCACAGCACCCACAGGGCAGATCCCAGGCTTGTCCCCTTTCTGGAAAATAATGAATTCTCTCTGACCTCCTTGATCCATCTTTGACCTCCTCAAGGTTAATATCACCTCTCCAAATGTATATCCATCAATTCCAAACCCCTTCCAGAAGTATCCCTGCAGGACTCAGGCACTAGCTTGTTGATCTCAAAAGATACAAAAAAAAAAAACCCCAAAACACTACCAGGAATGAACAAGGCCACCTCTTATCCACAACGACATATGGAATCTAGGAGCCACACCACATCCCTGAACATATTAACAATGATTGAACAATATGGATTCTCCCTCGGGCTGGTGCTTCGAGACCACCCTGCTAGAAACCTCTGAACTAAAAACCCGCTACCAGGATCTGGGTCACCGTTCAGCCTACTGACAAACGTAAAGCCCAATAGGCGAGTGGAGATGTCCAATAATAGATTGCAGCTCATGGGGGTGTAACTTTCTTTGCCACTCTAGCCCTACTAATTAAGCCCTACACCTTCTGAAGCTTAACCTGAGGGTGTCAAAATAT